CCAGCAAGGATTCCCTGATCTGCATCACGGCTGGCTGCTATAACATTTTGGCCCTGGAAGATTGTAGATATGAATGCCTTCAGGGTCAAGCAATGCAGAGAAAATCTTTGCCAAATTCTCACTGGATATTTACTAGTCTTACAAAAAGAACATAAATTGTGGGAGCTTAAAACTTTCCTATGCCAGTTATTTATTTTTTTCTTTTTTTGTCCTTGTCAGTATGCAAAAAAAATAAAATGTTTATTTAAACTGCAAAGCAGTGAAAATTTCATAACACCATAGAAAGTATAAAGTTTTCTTATAGAAAGTTATAATAATGCCAATCACATCGATTACTGTAATAAAGACAATAGGGGGAAAAATCAAATGACGATTCTCAAATTATGTTCACCATTTCCTTCTATTGCACATGTTTTTTGAGAAAATCAATCTTCTTACTAACTACTATTTATTTTTAGACATCTTAATGCCACTAAATACATTTCAAATAGATTTTTTATGTAATGGGTGTAGGAAGGAAAATCCTCTTCAAATTGACGACACTTATGTTATGTGTGGGTGACTTATGATGGATAATTTCACTGAATCTATATTGGAACATAATTCAATTTACTCAACTGTTACTGTAGAAACCACAAAGGTTTCCCTGGCTTTACTCCTGTTGAGTAATAAAACAAAGTGGATGAAATGACTAGACAATATTTTGTCTTAGAAAAACTATTCTTACTTTTAATATACTAGTATTAAATATATAAATATATATATATCTATATCTATATATATAAAACCATATATAGAACTAGAAACCATACGGCAATAGAAAATGCGTATGACAGACATATACTCAACAAATCTTGAGAGCTGACAGGCAGGTAAGTAACTTTAATGTAGAAGACACAAACCATGTCTCTTCTGCATTAAAAATCCTGCCTCTTCACCCCTTTTTTATTTTAAGCCTAAAGTTCCACTTTAAGCATGTTAAAGTGTCCAAAGGGTGATTTATTCACAGTTTTTTCGAAATATCTGAAAGAAAGGTCCATTATCTTTTGACTATACAGGCTATTTACCATAACCAAATGGGAGGAAGATTTAGAGTAGAGTGTTTACACAGTTGAAATAAATAGGATATTGAAACCGTACATCTTTAATAAATACTTTTACTTCTATATGCTGCTGAAAAGGTGGTACTACACCCCAATGTACTTAAAATAAATCGTTTCAACGGGTATCTCTACTATGTTTAAGAATAGACAAGAATTGGGGACTCTTCATGATTGAAGTATATTGGAAACACATTTTTGAACTTTTAGATAAAATTGAATGTTTCGCCCTCGCTTTCAACATGTGGGTGGTTTTGTTTCATAAAACTAAATCCTCTATCTAAAAACAGATTACAAAATTACAAAAAAACTCACCTACTGAATGTGAAAAAAGTTTTATTTTAAAACAATGGAAATTGTCTATACTGCCCTAAGTGGGTGAATGAGGAAAGTAAAACAATAGTGCTGGACTCATAGGGATATATCTCCCTGTTATTGCTATCTTAAAATATTGATGGTGATTTAAATGATCTGGTCCCAGGACAGGCAGCTTCTACACCCCAGAGGATCTCCATGGTCTCCTTGGCTTGTAGCGTAACAAAAATGAAAATAGCCAAACCACTGCTGTCAGGGGGACAATCTAAAAAGTATCTAATGCACTTTTGGGGTCAAGAGCTCCTCTGCCATCAGGTCTAGAAAAAACATACAGTAAAATCTTGCCATGATGTTGGCAAGGTTAGTGTGGACTGTTCAGTGACAGTGCAATCAGATTGTACAGTGTAAGGCTGGAGTTATACATATATACAGTAAGTTTTTTTTTATATATTTTACTCTTTTTTTATATATTTATTCCCATTGGCTCCAAATTTTAATTAGAATGTATTGTTTTAATTTTAATTATTATTATTATTATGGTTTATTTTTACCCAGGTGATGAACTGCAATGGTATATTTTGTTATTTATGTTCTCACATTTGTCAGAGTTTTTTTGTATATTGATTTTCTATTCAATGTTACCTGACATTATTTGCAATTCTTTCAGTACTATGGGCTATTGGGTATTTAATTTTTAAATGTGTCTGTGAGGATATTGTATTGATGTCGGATTTAAATGGAGATGTCCTTATGTTTTTTCCTAGCCCTGATAAAAGGGTAATTCTTGGACCCCCAAAACACGTTGGATACTTTTGGATTGTCCCTGACTTTTGTTGGAATATAAAGTTGTCTCTAGACCTCTTAGCAGTAGTGAAGCTATAGGGGTAGATGGCTGTTTCCAAAATGTATTTTATGGCCTGTGTCACATAGGCTTCAGTGTGTATAAGAGCAGCGTGAACAGCAAGCTTCGACAAAGCATTTTCAGAGTAAGAGTTGTTGAAGCTTTTAAAGTACCATTCAGCTTCATTATTGAACCCAGATCCCTAATGGGAGTGCTGATTGGCACTTTAAATAAGCTGCTAGCGGGCTTCAGCAGACTCTCAACAAGTTTCAAGTAGTGCTGACGCCTGCTATTTATACATGGTACATGTATATGTTGTGTATATTCATTATATATATATACTGCTCAAAACAATTAAACAAACACTTTTAAATCAGAGGATAGCATTAAGTCAATCGAACTCCTGGGATATTGATCTGGTCAGTTAAGTGACAGAGGGATTTGTTAATCATTTTCAGCTGCTTTAGTGTTAATGAAATTAACAGCAGGTGCACTAGAGGGCAACAATGAGACGACTCCCAAAAGAGGAATGAATCTACAGGTGGAGGCTACTGACATTTTTTCCCTACTCATCTATTCTGACTGTTTTTCACTAGTTGCATTTGTCTAGGGTCAGTGTCACTGCTGGTAGCATGAGGCGATACCAGGACCCTACAGAGGTTACATAGGCAGTCCAACTCCTCCAGGGTGGCACATCAATACATACCATTGCCAGAAGGTTTGCTGTGTCTCTCAGCACTGTCTTAAGAGCATGGAGGAGATACTAGGAGACAGGCAGTTACTCTAGGAGAGCTGAACAGGACCATAGAAGGTCCTTAAACCAATCAGCAGAACCTGTATCTGCAGGATGAGCACTGCCAGAGCCCTACAAAATGACCTCCAGCAGGCCAGTGGTGTGAATGCCTCTGACCAAGCAATAAGAAACAGACTTCATGAGGGTGGCCTGAGGGCCTGACATCCTCTAGTGGTCCCTGTGCTCAATGCCAAACACCATAGAGCTCGATTGGCATTTTCCATTGAACACCAGAATTGGCATGTCCACCACTGGTGCCCTGTGCTTTTCACAGATGAGAGCAGGTTCACCCTGAGCACATGACAGACGTTAAAGTGTCTGGAGAAGCCTTGGAGAACGTTATGCTGCCTGTAATATTCAGCATGACCATTCTGGTGGTGAGTTAGTGATGATCTGTGGAAGCATATCAATGGAGGGATGCATAGACCTCTACAGGCTAGAAAATGGCACCCTGACTGCCGTTAGGTATCAGGATGAAATCCTTGCACCCATCGTTAGACCCTACTCTGGTGCAGTGGGTCCTGTGTTCCTCCTGGTGCACGACAATGGCCGGCCTTATGTGGCAAGAGTATGAAGGCAGTTCCTGGAGGATGAAGCAATTGATACCATTGATTGACCCCCACACTCGCCTGACCAAAATCCAATAGAACACCTCTGGGATATCATGTTTCGGTCCATCCGACACCGCCAGGCTGCACCTAAGAAAGTCTGTCAGGGTCCTGGAAGACTGGGCATTTCCGCCAGTACCCTACATGGCCGCAGAAATACACGCATCAGGCCCAGTTTTGGCGCCAAATGGCCTTTATAAGGAGGCTCTTCACTTCCTCAAATTGTTGGATGATCTCTAGCTCCCCGTACCTTGTTCCTGGTTCCTGTTTCCTGTGTTATTGTGACCTGTGACTTCCTGATACCAACTCGGCTTGCTCTTGGACCTGTCTACTCTTTTTAACCCCTGATCTGACCTCGGCTTGGCTAACGGATACTCTGTCTCTCGCTCCTCGGTGTATGACCTCGGCTATCCCATCTGACTACATCTGCTCTGATTCCCACCTGGTACCTGACCTTAGCTTGAACCAGTTATCCAGTAATCCTCCATTCCCGGAAGGGCTTGCATACCTTGCACAGGCGCCCATCTGTCTGCAGACCTCATCTCCGTGCATCAGCTGTACTCCTAGGTGGACCACCAACAAGCACTCCTACAGGCGACCTGTGCCACTTTGGGCCTGACTCCCGCTGTCCCACTCTCAGGGGAGTCTGGAACTTAGCCACAAGGGAAGCCCTCTCTCCATTGGCCCCATTCACCAGGTACCTGATAATGTCCAAGAGGAAATACCTCAGGACCCCATCCGTCATCTCATTAGGGGAATGTTGTCAGGCATGCATACAAGCACGTGGGGGCCATACAAACTACTGAGTACCATTTTGAGTTGCTGCAATGAAATTTCAGTAAAATGGACTAGCCTGCTGCATAATTTTTTCACTTTGATTTTCGGGGTGTCTTTGAATTCAGTCCTCTGTAGGTTGATAATTGTCATTTTCATCAAATGATGAGGCATCCTTTATGTTCCTAACACATTACCCAGTCCATATAAGTATAGATATCCAGCATGATATTTTTCTCCATTGAGATCAAATGTGTTTCAAAGTGTACCTTTAATTTTTTTTGAGCAGTGTATATAGTACATGATATATCTATTTTGGATACCATTTACTGTGTTTGTCATTCTAGCTGCTTTTCTATTGGCATATATATAAGTTTAAAGTGTTACTAAACCCCGGACCCTACATTAACTATATCTGGTCTCCCACAGTACACAGAACATGGAAATGCAATTATTTTAGTAAATATAAACTGCTAAATATCCTTTCTCATCAGCAGTTAGAGCAGTCTTGTGGCTTCTATCAGTGTCCAGCCGAGCACTAGCTAAAGCTTGTAGGAGGAGTTTTCTTTCTGCTCTAGGAGGATGGAAATCCCCTGACCTCTGTCTGGACAGTGCTGATTGGCCCCGTGCTGATCAAATGCACTCTCCCAAGAAAAAAAAAAAAAAAAAACCTTTCTAGCAATACACACCAAACTGAGCATGTGCATGTGGCTACAGGTTCAGTTTGTTTTATCAGGTGGACTTTTGAACAAGAGAAGGGGCATAGAAGTCAGGATCAAATGTTTTTTTACACAATGCAGAGGATTAACCCCTTTGCTTCCACAGTGGTTATAACAAGCATGCTTTACTGCATATACACTGATTTTACTGTTGTGGATTAAGTAACACTTTAAGTCCCCGGTCACACTGGGTGTGTCTTGGCATGTGATTTGCATGCCATATGACTTGTAAATCGCATGGCAAGTCACACTGTATTGTCCGCAATTACAGCAGTCTTGTGACTTCTATCTGTTTTCATGCAGAGCACTGGTTAAAGCTTGTAGGAGGAGCTTTATTTCTGCTCTAGTAGAATGCAAAACCCCTGACCTCTGTCAGGAGAGTGCTGATTGACCCTGTGCTCATCACATGCACTCTCCAAAGAAAATAACCTCTCTAGCAATACACACTAAACTGAATATGTGCAGTCTGTCCAATCAGGAGATAAGACGTGGACATTTGAACAAGAGGAGGAGCAGAGAAGTCAGGATCAAACTGCCTTTTTACACAATGCAGAGGATTAACCCCATAGGTTCCACAGTGAATATAACAAGCATGCTTTACTGCAGAGACAGACTGATTTTACTGTTATGAGTTTAGTAACACTTTAAGCTAGAAAAATATATATTGGATGGCAGCCCATGGACTTTATAAGCACATCACTAAATATCATAAAAAATATACAATCTTTGTTGTTAAATAGTTAAAAATTGATTAAAAGGTTAAAATCACATTGAAAATAAAACATATTAGCATCCTGCACCCATATGTCAGTTATGGTGGTGGCTCCACACTATAATAAAGGTACACACTGTACACACTGTACAGTAACTACTACAAGTATAATTATCTTGGGAATTTCCACCATTCAAATATACATCAGAAATAGGGGCTCTGCCAAGAAATCAAATTTGTCCCACTATGCCAAGCCCTTGGGGAAAGAGATATATTAATATATTCATTCAACAGCCATAATGAATCCTCTGGAAATGATATCAGGGTCACCAGAATTACATTGGTTTTATTTAGAAACTAACGAGCTTGGGGTCCATATGACAAACATCTATAGTTCAAGAGATTGCATGCCCAACTTCACTCCACCATGCACCTGTATAGCATCGGTAACAAACGGGTTCCCCCAGCTGAACCTACCATGCCAGATGCTTGAACCAGCTTTAAATTGACCTCATGACATAATAGGATATCAACTTAAGATTTGTTAATAAAAATTTGGTAACAAAATATGTTAGTCTGTTGTCTGTCAACACCAATAAACTCCAGGGTGTCTGCTATTTATTTAATATAATTTTTATTTACATCACAAAATGCCCTCCATCTAACAAATTCCAAATTGGCACACCTGGTATATAAAATAATGTACCCCATAAAAAGAGGTCCATTACTGTGTGGGTTGTCTACTACATTTTTATCAGCCTATATACCCTTTAGCACTGGGTGAGTATCCTCATCTGCAGTGATGAGCTTAATTGGACAATTTACCCATTCAACAATATATGAATAGTAAAAAGTATCCATGAACCTTTTTTTGTATGTATTTTTTTTTTTTAAATCCTTTATAACTTAATTTTTTAAGTTGTTAAAAAGTAATCCAGAAGTGGCTTGCCCTGTCTCAATGTAATTTTTTATAAATAGCCCCAGTTCTGTTTTTTGCAACTTCAATGGATTTACTAAAGTACCAGAATGTGGAAATTCTATGCCTTGATTAGTTCATTTGCTTGCCAAATGATAGGAAACATTGTAAAAAGCTTCATTAAAATATTTTCACTATAATACAGGAGAAACTGTATCGCAAACTCCACTGGGATACAAAACAGAGATTTACTTTATTTCTGAAGTAAATTGGTGCTTGATTTTTCAGTGGAATTTACAATACGGTTTCTTCCATATTAAAGTGTAATTTATTATCTGATAGTGGGTGAAAACACAGTTTGCTTGGGTAGGTAGCCAAATTTTTAATACATTATGTAACTCATTACAATATTTCCTATGAATCATATCCTGAACTCCACTATTAACCTATATATAATACAGATTTTTTTATAATACAGATTTTTTTATGTTCTTATACAACATAAGTAGAGAAATGCATTTCTTACAATAGGAAACACAGGGTATTCTAATAATTACTATCCTTTTTTTACTATTTACTAAGATTACTATCTTTTTTAGGTTTACCAGTCTAAAGGGCTACAGATTAAAAAAAAAGAGGAATGAGGATGGGAGGGCATACATTTAAGTATCCTTATCCATTCACTCAATGATGTCATAACAGATACTGCAACTGTCTTATTGCTTTAGGTTTCTGGATGTTATCTACCTGCCTAGTATACTATAATAAATTGTCTGAAGAATTGTTTTGCTTAACCATTCTGATTTATTCCATCAGGCAGATTTTGAAGATTTGGAGCAGCTGTTTATCCACCAAAGGGGTTTTACATGAAATCCAATGTTTGTGATTTAAAATTTGGCCATATTTATTAGGTGAGGTATTATTGTGTTTTAGATTTTAAGACTAAAATTTTGGTTTCATGGAACAATACCATTCATGGGTCAAGGGAGAGATGGATGAGATTTTGTTGACCAGTTCCAATATTTGCACCGGGGTGTGATACCACCCGATCAATAAGTTTACTTACTCCTGGTGGTAGAAGAATTTATAAAAGTTGAATGTACTAATTTCATAGCTTTGAACTAGACTGGGTTATGTTTTAAAAACTACTTTTCAATAAATGAATAACTAGTGTCATATTTAGACTTCTTTTTTTATTGAATGTTTCCTTTTACTATTTTTCCAATAGAATGCACTAAACTAAGAGAACATCATAACTCCGAGGCTTACTAATTTATTAAAAAGTTGAGAAGAAGCAAACATAAAGAAAATGTCAAAAAAAGAGCGATGAATCACTTCAATTGTCCAATTATAGGCAAGTGAAATACCTAAACAAAAATTTGCTTTTCACATGATTAGACAATCGAAGTGAATATTCAATCTTTTTATGTAAATATTCTCAACTCCTTTAACAGATCAGCCTTCCTGTGTTAAAGTAAGGGAAAAAGTGATCATTCATTAATGCTGTATGTGTGCCTGATTAAATAGTCAAATGGACTGTGCCTTATGTATTCTTATAGCACACATCACAGTAATAGCTTTGCTTCAAATGTTGTGGCATTATTATATACAAAAGTAACATTTCATCTTCAAGTGAAAAGACTTGGGTTAATGCTGTATGTTCATGGATTTGAACAAGTTCCAATGGACTCTTTACCAATCCCTTGGGGTAGTGGTGAGCACTTACCTACCTGTCAGGTAATTTGCCCTCCAGCCCCAACTCCTCCTAGTTTTTTTTTTGCCCTTGGTGTAGAATAACTCTCCCTAAATCTGAAACAGCCAGGATTACATGCAGGATGGTTTCTCACTTGTAGCTTTAAGGATGTATATTCCATATGTCTTGTTTGCAAGTCTGATGTTTTTCTTTTGCTTTATTTCAAGAGAATAATTTCCAAAAAGGGGGAAAAGGTTTATATTAAAGTGTTTGTTTTCCCAACATTTCATATTTCTGATATGTGTCTGTTGTATCATGTACTTGTGTTAAAAGGCAACCTGTTATCTTTGCATTGCTACCTTTGTGTGAAATACCAGGTGATCCTGCCAGTCCCCCTACTTATCTATTTCAGACATGGAAGCATATTCATCCCAATGTTGTCAGTTTTCTGGCTGAGGTGGAAGTACAGCCTGCCTGTCCTCCAATGACCAAGACTTGTGCTGATATGTTCCCCAAAACAGCTCTTCACTGGGAAGATCAGTGTGCTGCTCTTCTTCTGCCTCCTGTTGACACCCCCCCCCCCAAGTCTCCACCCCCACCTCTCCAAGTCCCTTATGCAGCTGAGAACATAGGACATTTGATCACCTACAGAAAATTAAAAAATGTATTAGAAATTCTGTATACAGTGAGGAACAGAAGTATTTGAACACCCTGCGATTTTGTAAGTTCTCCCACTTAGAAATCACGGAGGGGTCTGAAATTCACATTGTAGGTGCATTCGCACTCTGAGAGACAGAATTTAAAAAAAATTCAGGAAATCACATTGTATGATTTTTAAAGAATTTATTTGTCTTGCACTGCTGAACATAAGTATTTGAACACCTGAGAAAATCAGTGTTAATATTTGGTACAGAAGCCTTTGTTTGCAATTACAGATGTCAAACGTTTCCTGTAGTTCTTGACCAGGTTTGCACACACAGCAACAGGGATTTTGGCCCACTCCTCCACACAGATATCCTCTAGATCTGTCAGGTTTCGGGGCTGTCGCTGAGCAACACAGACTTTCAGCTCCCTCCAAAGATGTTCTATTGGATTTAGGTCTGGAGACTGACTAGGCCACTCCAGAACCTTGATATGCTTCTTACGGAGCCACTCCTTGGTTATCCTGGCTGTGTGCTTCGGGTCGTTGTCATGTTGGAAGACCCAGCCACGACCCATCTTCAATGCTCTGACTGAGGGAAGGAGGTTGTTTTCTCAAAATCTCACAATAAATGGCCCCATTCATCCTCTCCTTAATACAGTGTAGTTGTCCTGTCCCCTTCACAGAAAAGCACCCCCAAAGCATGATGTTACCACCCCTATGCTTCACAGTAGGGTTTGTATTCTTGGGATGCAACTCATTCTTCTTTTTCCTCCAAACATGACGAGTAAAGTTTAGACCAAAAAGTTCTACTTTGGGCTCATCTGACCACATGACTTTCTCCCATGCCTCCTCTGGATCATCCAGATGGTCATTGTCAAACTTCAGACGGGCCTGGACATGTGATGACTTGAGCAGGGGAACCTTCTGTGCAATGCATGATTTGAAACCATGACAGCGTAGTGTTCTACCGACAGTGACCTTTGAAACTGTGGTCCCAGCTCTCTTCATGTCATTGACCAGCTCCTCCCTTGTAGTTCTGGGCTGATTCCTCACCTTTCTTATCAGTGATACCCCACGAGGTGAGATCTTGCATGGAGCCCCAGTCCGAGGGAGACTGACAGTCGTCTTTAGCCTCTTCCATTTTCTAACAATTGCTCCAAAGTTGATCTATTTTCACCAAGCTGCTTGGCAATTGCCCCATAGCCCTTTCCAGCCTTGTGGAGGTCCACAATTTTGTCTCTGGTGTCTTTTGACAGCTGTTTAGTCTTGCCCATGGTAGTAGTTGGTGTCTGACTGACTGTGGGGTGGACAGGTGTCTTTAAAGAGCTCAGTCAGGTGCTACTAAGTTAGATTAATGAGTGGAGTAGAGGTGGACTTTTTAAAGGCACAGTAACAGGTCTTTGAGAGCCAGAATTCTTGCTGTTTCTCAGGTGTTCAAATACTTATGTTCAGCAGTGCAAGACAAATAAATTCTTTAAAAATCATACAATGTGATTTCCTGAATAGTGCATAGTCCACATGTGCTTTTCTGCTTCACTACAACCAGGAAAAATTAAACTTTATTTAGTGAAAAGACAGAGTTTATAAGAGATGCAGCTAAAAACCTATTAACACTGCCATCTACTGGTTGAGGAATATATATCCACTAAATACTGATGTAGTTGTCGCACAAA